TTTTTTTTTTTCAGTGTGGGGATTGAACCCAGGTCCTCACAAATGCTATGCAAACACTCTACCACTGAACTACATCCCCAGTCCTCTTTCTTTAAAAATAACAACTCAAGAGGCTGGAGATGTGGCTCAAGCGGTAGCGCACTCGCCTGGCATGCGTGTGGCCCGAGTTCGATCCTCAGCACCACATACAAACAAAGATGTTATGTCCGCCGAAAACTAAAAAAAAAAAATAAATATTAAAAAAAAAATTCAAAAAAATCCCACAACAACTCAAAGTCAGATGGCCTTTTATTTGTTTTTTTCCAAAATTCTTTTTTGATGTATTTGGCACTGGGGATTGAACCCGACAGCATTTCATCACATCCTCAGCACTTTTTAAACTTTTTTATTTTAAGACAGACTCTCACTAAGTTGTCCAGGCTGGCCTCCAACTTGCTATCTTCCTGCCACAGCCTCCCAAGTTGCTGTGTTCATTGTGCCTGGCTCTTTTCCCCAAATTCTTGACCTTCCAGATGGGTAGGGGTGACCACTTTTCCCCAAAGACAGGCTCTGTTTTGTCAGTCTTCCCAAGGCATCCTTGCAGAGAATCCTAGCCATTCTCTGCTAATTGCTGGGGAATTCCCATTGAATTGATACCCTTGACAGGTAGAAAAGAGCAAGTAAATGAGCCCATTTGAGCCCAGAATCTTCTCTTGGTGCCCAGAATCTTCTCTTGGTGACCTGGACTGGGGGTCAGTATTGACAGATATTATCTGTTGTCTCTCTGGTTTGTGTTGGTTTTCTGTAAAGTGAAAGAAAAGCTGTCATCAGAGTCTCTCAGAACTAGGCTAGGCTGGGACAAAGGTAAGCTTGCAGACAAGGAGTTGGTTGTGTCTTATTTGGATGAGAAAGGCTGGATTGTACTCACTTGGACCTCAAGGCAGTTTTTATACCCCATTTTCCATGTTCAGTCTCCTCCACCCCATGCGCTGGCCTGTCCATTGCCACTCTGCCTTCTTTCTCTTTTATCCCTCTTTTGGGTTCCTTCTATCTCCCTGTGTTCTGTCCTTCCTTCTTCCCTCCCTCCCAATCTCCACTTATCTTCTCATCCCCTCTGCCCCCAAGCCTGGCAGCCTGCCCTGTAGGAATGTTAATTAGCATTCACGATTTAATTAATTCAGTAGCTAATTAATGATTAGGGTCTGGGGTGGGGAGCTGGGGTACAGGGGGGTTGGGGGTTGAAGGTGGCAAGGAGAAATAGCGGAGGCTGCAGAAGGCATTGCAGATGGCTGTGCACTGGCTGGCACGGTGCCCACCGCCATGGATGCAAACACACTCGCATACATACACACGTACACACACAGAGACACACAAAAACCGGAAAGGGTGATCGAGGAATAAAATCAAAAGCATGGAGAGAAGGGCACAGGGGCCCTGGGAACTGGGGCTGTGGGACTGGGGGTGGGGAAGGCTCTAGATCTATTTGAATCTGCTCCGGAAGTAGAAGAGCAGGGGAAAAAAAGAACCACAGGCGCAGAGAAAAGAGAGCTCTCCCGGTACCCCACCCTACCCCCACCCCATCCCAGCCACCCCTCCTCCCTGGCATGGGATTCATGGGCACCAGCTGAGGACAGGGTCCCCTCCTTCTGCCTGTCATAAATACTGGCACCGAAGACCCAGACTCCAAAAGACAGGACATTCCAAAGAAAATAGTTTTTAAGTTGTTTTTTAAAAAATATATATGTATACTCCCTCTCTCTCTTTCTCTCTTACACACACACACACACATACACACACACGTATATTTTAAAATTGCACCCATTTTGGTGTGAGGGCGAAGGCGAGTGAAAGAAGGTGACCGAGCCAGGAGGAGAGCACAGATGGCTTGGTGGTGGTTTGGTATGGTGAGTTGTGGGGAGGAAGAGAGGGGGGTCTGCAGAGGTTGGGGGTGGATGGAATGAGGACCCTGTTTTCCTCTTTTCGTTTTGCTGTGGATGAAGGAGAGAGAGAGAAAGAGAGAAAGGGGGTGGGGAGAGAAGCGAGACAGATGGCAGAGTGGAGAGGCGGCAGCCAGTGCCGGCACTGCCCAGCCTGGGCGGACCCAGCCTCCCCCACCCCCCTGACTGCCAGCTCTCCAAATGCCACCCTTCCCCCATCCTCCCCTCTCCCCATCCCCCCAGCTTGGCACTGATCTCAGGGAGGGAGAGGGAGGGAGGCTGGGCAAAGAGCATCTGTTCCCTCCATTCTCCCAGCTCCATCGGCTGCCAACCTAGGGCCATCGTCTGCCTCCATCACCCCTCCGCCCGCCCGCCTACCCACCCAATCCCAAACGGGTGCTGGATCAGGTGCCGAATCCGGCTGCCTCCTCGGGTACCAGTCACTGTGCATTGCTGTGTGTCTGCCACCGCTGCCTGGCACTCATGGGGCCGTGTGTGTGTATGTGTGTGTGTGTGTGCGCGCGCGCATGTACATGTACTCATAAGTGTGTACTGTATGTGAGCCTCCTGGGCATGGGTGGGGGTGGCATTGCGGTTGCCAATCTAGTGTCCAACCAGAAGGACAGAGGGTTGGAGTAGAAGAAGGTGGGGAAGGGTGTAGGGCCTGGGAGGGGAGAAGAGGGTGCATGAGTTGTTTCATGCTGTCTGCTTACGGGCATTGGCACTGCAGCTGCCACCCTAGTGCCCACAGAGATGGGAGGAGGCGGATGGAGGGAGACAGCGGCAGGAGTCCCCATGCTCTGAGAGGAAGGCGCGGCACACAGGAGCTATTGGCATCACATCTGTCAGGCCGGTGCCCAGTGCTGGGGCAATAGGGAATGGGGGACCCAGAAGGCAGGGAGGAGGAATGGGAATGTGTTGCTCATGTTGCTGTCCTGCTAGATGCTCAGCTCTGAAAAATGGGTGGACTCTGAAGTGGTTGGTTATCTTCCAGCCTGGGGAAGTGAAGTGGTGGACAGAGTAGTCAGGGAAGTGCCATGAATGTGTTCAAGAGCCATGGAGAAGGGTTTGTGCCACCACTATGCAGGGAGAACAACTTTGGGATAGCAATATAACCTCTGGTCAGAGCAACCTAAGGGACTGGGGCATGAGATGGGGCAATGGGGATATTGTCACTGTCTATGGAGCCTGGCACAGGCTCTGACATTGTGTGCTATAGGGGAGGGTGATAGTTCCTCCTGCCAATCTGGTTTAGAGGGTTGTGCCAGGTGTGAGAAGGAAGGAGGTAGATGTGGAGGACTTTATTTGGGAAAACAGACTTTTTTTCTGCCAGGAACTCCTTCTATTCCCTCTTAGGCATAGGGAGTGGAACTACAGATGGAGAGCAGTGTGAGACACAAAGGAGGAAGCGCGCCATTCCTAAAACCCTAAGGAAGATGGGTGGAGAGAGGCTAGCAGTTCTGCCTGGCCTCCAGCCAGTTCCCGCTGAAGATGGTCATATCCTCTATCCTGGTCTGTATGTGTCACCATTGCAGACGTAGGAGGGGAGGGAAGGACTTGATTGCTGAGGCGGGCTCTGGGATGGGAAGGGCACGTTTCTGCAGATCCCAGTTTGACTCTCCACTCTAACAAGTGAGGTGTCTCATTTTTCTCTTTGGTGTTTTTCTTTTCTTCCCCTCCCTTTGCCTCAGCCCTCTTTCATCTTTCCATCACCACCTGGGTCCTACTGCTTGGCATCCAACCAACTAGATGTCGCCACGCTTGGCAGTGCTGTATTGGCATGTGTACAGTGTCTCAGATCCTGGCACTGCGGCAAACCCAAAGCCGCCAAATGTGCTCACGACGCCACTTGGCGGCAGTGAGAGAGAGAGAGGGGGCCATGCACAATGGAGTGCCAGGCATTGGGTGGAGCTCTGTGCTGGGAAGTTGCACAAGAGGATGCCCTTAACAACTTGGCTGAGCCAGCACTTCCTAGACAACTCCAACTCTGCTGTCTCCCAACTGGACACTCACCTAGCTCCTGCCCTCACTGCTCCCAAGAAAAGGATTTAGATGGTACTATACTCTGTTTGAATGGCTATGCAAAGTGAAACTAGAGCACAGAGGAGCAAGGATGCCAGGCCAGTGAACTTTCTGGGCAGCAAGGACAGAAAAAAATCCTAGGAGAGTGAAAAGAGAGCCTGGAGAAAAGCATGCCAGCTATATTGTCACCAAGATGGTACCAGAAGAGATTTGGAAGGATGAAATGCGACTCAGTGTAGAACACTTGCCCAGCGTGCATGAGACCGTCCCTGGGTTTGATCTCCAATACCACAAAAAAAAAAAAAAAAGAAAAGAAAATAAATACTCTTCAGGAGAGATTGGAGAGGACAAAGTAGGTAGGCCTTGCTGCTGTTGGGTAGTGGAGTGGGTTGCACCAATGTGTTGCCTAGTGCCGTATGATCAGTTGAGCTGTGGCTGAACCAAACCAGTTCTTTTTCCTTGGTTAAAATGTTCATATTTAAACTGGGTTTCGTGGCATATGCCTATAATCCTGGTGACTGGGGGGAGGGGTGGGCAAGGTAGGAGGATTGCAAGGTTGAAGCTAGCCTCAGCAAGTTCGCAAGCCCTGTACATCTTAGCAAGACCCTGTCTGGGGATGGAGCTGATTGGTTAAGCACCTCTGAGTTCAATCCCAGGAGCCTGCCCTACAAAAAAGTTCATATTCAATAACTCTCCTTAGAAGGATGGAGAGGTTCTTTAGACTTAGAGAGGAAGGCAGGTGTTCGGAAAACAAAGCCACCTGGGACTTGTTCTTCCAGAAGCATTGCAAGATTTTGTATTTAGGAATTTCTCAAAGGTACCCCAAATGGAATTGGATAAATTTTGTATCTTTGAAATGTACTCCTGAAAATCAACAATGAACCCTGGTAGAGGGTAAAGCCCCTGGAGAAGAACACCTAGCATCTCTGGTAACACATACCAGCCCCTACAAACCTTAATCTTGAGCCACCCTCTATAAGAATATCCAGTAGAAATGGCTTTCTTTGCTTCTTGGGTAACTGGAGGTCGGCTATAGGTCAGTGACTTGGAAGATGTATTAGAAAATTTGCTTCTGGGTGACTTCAAGGAGGAGGGTGGGTGGCTCTGGGAGATAAGATTGCCCAGAGGGAAATATAGTCATCTGTTACCCATGCATGCAGGCCTGGGCTGCTCAGGGCACGGGAGTTCTGATTTCAGCATCTCCAGAAGTGGATGAAAGCTTCATAAGAAGCAAGGTGATTTCCACAGAAGAGCAGAAAACAGGAGGCACTCAGCAAGGGGTGAGTGGACACTGTTTCTATCTTCTCCCCTGTTCAAGTGCAGTTATCATAAATAGAAAATACTATCAAACTTCTAGTCTATTGGAAGGTAAGAGGACGGGTGGGGGTTGATGTCAGGGTAATGTCAGACAGGTCTGAGGTAGGGGAAAAAAGGAGGGGGTGTATCTCAGTGGTAGAGTACTTGCCTAGCATGTGTGAGGTCATGGGTTTCATCCTTAGCACAGGGTGCTGCTAGCCCCCTGTGTGGGAGATTCTGGTGTAGCAGGAGTGGTGCTAGGTGCTAGGCACTGGGACAACAGATATATATTGAGCTGGACTCTAGTCCAGAGAACATAGATCACTTCAGCAGGAGTTTCTGGTTCAATCACCCAAGGTGTGGTCCAGGAATGTGCATTTTAAACACACACTCAGGTGATGATGATATAGATGGATGAACTTTGAAAAACACTGTATTAAGAGATGGCAGTCACTTTATAGGACAGTTGATCTAGTCTAGGTTCCCTTGCCTTTGTGTTTCTCTTCTTCCTCAGCCATATTTGTGTCTTTATGCTGTCATGGTCCATATATATATATACACATATATGTGTTGTAGGATGTATGAATGTATGTGTTGGGTGAGGGCAGTAGGCAGAAAAGGAGGGATTGTGAAGTTTAATCAGGGACATAACTTATTCAAACTTATTCATTGGCATTAGTATAGCAGAAGAATCCCTTTGAAAACACTTTCAAATTCACTCTTCTCTTTACCCCCAGATGCTGATTGACTGGCTTCCCAGGTGTTTCTGAAATCTTATCTCTGAGAACCACTAGTTTAAGAGCATTGCCACAAGATAGTTCATGGTTCAGTGAGATTTGTATGTGATTTGTATAGGTCCTATTCCCACATCTGGATCCTGGTTAGTAAAAGTAGGGTAGGCAGAGTACAGGGCCAAGCCTACTGCAAACACCTTTCAAATTGCAGATGCTGTTGCTGCTTGAGCATTTGGTGGAGATACCCAGACATGAGCATAATCTGGGCATTCTTAAATCCAATTGAGAAGACAAGGTAATATGGGAGAGGGGAGGATTGTAGATGTGGAACAGTGCTGAGCCCCTGCTAATTATTCATTTGAGAATTTTAGCCATTGTTTAGTCATTGTATAAGAATGTGATATAGCTGGGTCAGCCTGTGTTGCCTTTCCCCCTTTCCTTGGATAGGTTCAGTTTCTTTCTGGTTCACCTGTAAACACTCATCCTACTTCTACTAGCTTCTAGTCAGGAATTTCTCTGTGGCTGGGGAACTGCAAGAAATACCAGGCTCAAACTGCAAATAGGGAATGACATTTATTCCATGTCTGTGCTTTGTATGGAAGGCTGGCTGGGTCCTCTATGTCAGGGAGAGTCACTAGGTGGTCATGCAATTGAGTCATGTAGTTTTTTTGCCCGGTGTTACATTCTTTCTGTAGTCTCCCAGGCAGGGCTTTTCCTCAGTGCTACTTCCTACCTTTCCTCAAACTTTATAGACTGTGATCTAGGTCTTTTACAAATGTTCTCTCTTGAATTTTATTTTGTCTGATCTTTTCATGTTATATTCAAACTGTAATCCTGTGGACCTGGTGCTGGGTCTTCTGTTTTTCTTGTAGCAAGCACTTCTTATTGGAACATTTTTTCCTAATTCAGTCCTCTAGACATGACACCCGCATGCCTATAAATTTCTGACTAATTTTTGAGAGAAATGCCTCCCTATTATGGGGCTTTTTCAGTTTTCCCTCTTTCAGGATGATATAAATGTTTTCCCAAAACCTTCTTCCTACCTGGGTGTGGTGGTGTACACCTATAATCCCAGTGACTTGAAAGGCTAAGGCAGGATCACAAGTTGGAGGCTAGTTTGGGCAACTTAGTGAGACCCTGTCTCAAAATAAAGAATAAAAAGGTACCAGGGGTTTAGCAGAATGGTAGAGTGTCCCTGGCTTCAATCTCCAATACCACAAAACAAAAATAAAAACCCCAAAAGTTTACTTTTTTTTTTTTTCTGGTACCAGGGATTGAATTACTCAGGGGCAGTCAACCACTGAGCTATATCCCCAGCCCTTTTTGTATTTTACTTACAGACATGGTCTCACTGAGTTGCTTAGCGCCTCACTGTTGCTCACAATCTTCCTGCCTCAACTTCCTGAGCTGCTGGTATTACAGGTTGTGAGACACCGCACCTGGCTTAAAGTTTACTCTTGATTTTTCCCTTAGCTCTCCCTTCTCTAGAGTTCAGTTATTTAAGGTCCTTTCCCATGGGTTAAAGTTCAACATTTGGTCTTTCTTCTTGCTAATGGTTACATTTTCCTCTTTCTGTTCATAAGATTTCCCTACCTACTTTTGTGTGAGGAAAATTAGCATATATTGAAGAGTGTTTACACTTATAGGAGTGTGGTTATGATCTGGAGGCATGTTCCTTGTGCCTATGCATATTCCTAGGGTACGATCTTTCTTGCATTCGTGTGTATACCCATAGATATCTTGGCTGGGGTTTGCTTCTCTTTTGGAGGCTGGACTTTCTTGTTTTAGCAGTACCATTATATACAGAAAGATCTCTGTTTCAGATGTGTGAATATCTTGTGTGCATGTGTGTAGTACTGGGGATTGAACCCAGTAGTGTTCTGCCTCTAAGCTATATCCCCAGCCTTTTTTAAAAATTTTACTTTGAAACAGGGTTTCACTAAGTTGCCATGTTGGCCTCAAACTTGTGATCTCCTGCCTCCATAGTAGCTGGAACTAGAGGCATGTATCATCATGCCTGGCTCAGATGTGGAACTGTATAGGGATGAATGATTGGATGAGTGAACATCTTAAAATAGATGAGGGTGGTGGAGATTTGGGGAATCAATGATCTATTCTATACGCCTTGAAAGTGGATAAGGAATAAATAGAAGGGGGGTGTTATTACTCCAGGAAAAATTGGCTTTCTTGGTTTGTATATATGCTTCTGTAAGTACACTCCAGGGCTGGGGGGGTGGGTAAGAACAGTTTTCTTTTTGCAGTCCTGTTGTAGACACTGCCCCATTTGGCCACTTCATATGTTTTTTTATATTCTTTCAGAAAACTTTGGTTTTTGTTCCTAGTTGATAAGTGGGCACCTTAAGCCATCTTCATATAGATTCTGGTTTAGAGCAAGGACAGCCAAGATCATTTATAGGTCCTTTCACCTCCTGCCTCCTAGTAATGATCCTGGTAGTAAGAAAAAACCTGAATTTGGGTACTTCCTTAGGACCTGTGTATGTTAGAAACTCCAAGCTGTGGAAGACCAGTCTTGATCCATCCATTCAGGCTTAACTTTATGGATTGCTGGGGTGATGCTATAGAATAGATGTTGCTGTGTCAGATGTTTTGAGTTTGTCACTCCACAGGATCCTGGTGACTTAATGGTCACCTCTAGTATTCTGCATAGGACTTGGCCTTCTGTCTACCAGAATGGCCACCATTCATTTCTCTCTGGAGCAGAAGGGCTTCTACTAAGAATATCAGGTCTGAGACAGGGGTTAGGGAGGAATGCTTCCAGCCACTGGAAATGTCAAATATGTACCCTCAAGAAGCATGTTGATTGATGTGTCAGTAGAGTTAGCCAGGCTATTTTGCCCCATAAATTCCAGGGTTCCAGGTAAGTACAGCTGCTCAGTCAGTTTCTGTTATCACTGTGAAGGACCTGAATGTCTCCCAGCCTGGGGTTGGTTGGGTTTCAGGGGTGTTTGGTGTTGGAGGGCAAGAAGGGAAATTTATGGCTACATCAAGTCTTAGTGAAAACATTCATAGTTCAAACTAAAGCCAACCTTTCCCAGCCCTAAAATGCATGACACCATACCTTGAATTCCATGTCAGGTGTTTGCTAAGGTTTTCTTTTAAAATGTTTCATTTTCTCATTTTTTTGGTCATTGTTTTCAGATTTTATATACAAGTCACATTCCCAGAAAGCACAGAGTGAAAAAGCTTCTTTTCTCATACACATGCTGCTAAGAAAATAGTTTTATACACAGAATTTCAACAGGAGAAAAAGATAGGGAGAGAGGAGTGTGAGAGGGATGTTGAAAAGAAGGAAAGGAAGGGTTGAAGCAAGCGCTAGACTTCAGTGGGTTAGTTGTCTTCCCTTCTAGTGCCTACATTTATGACTGGCATTTTTGGTATCATCTGAATAACTAGTTCAGCCAATTGTAGCTTACCTGTAATTGGCTGAAGTTGGAGTTCTGGATTTTAAAACTGAATGGGACAGGATGTGAAATTCACAGAATACATGGGGACTAAGGACTAAGCTGGATTTTCTCTTTCTCACTCGCCTCCCATGTTTTCTGCACTGCTACTACTACTGCTTCAGTATAAACATGTTCAGAGAGCACAGTGTTTGAGAGACTGAAAAACTAAGTCCCAGAACTGGCTGACTTGTGAATATTAAATGGATAATGGTGGTGGAAGCAGTGTGAGGGAAGAGATCTTGGGGATAAGGGAGCAGGAGACATATCTGGAGGACATGGGAAATTTTGCAGGCTTTTCTTGCTAAAATAAAACATTTCATTTTCTACCCTGTGCCACTTTAGCTGGGTTTTGGGGTTGTCAGAATTACCCCCTGGTGGTTACAGAGGAAATGAGGTTGGGGTGAGGAAGCTTCTCCTAGGTCATTACTCTTCTGTTGTTTCTCCTGGTGATAGTATCCATCAACTAACATCAGCTCTAGATCTTGAGATCTAGATCACAGATCTTGATTTCTTTGGAATTGTCTCCAGCAGCTGCTGCTTAATGGAGGAGGTGTGCTCTTCTAGGTCAGATGGAGCAGGAGCAAGGGCAGAGGACAAAGGGGAGGAAGGAACATGGGGAGCAAAGAACCATGCAGAGGCAAAGGAGGTTCAAGAAATGTCTAAAAATATGATGGCACCACAAAAGGAAGGAAACTATGTTTATGGAAAAAAGGAAATGAGAGGAAATGGAGGTAAGTGAAAGGGATTCATACCTCGATTTCAGAAACCAAACTGCCCCATCTACCCCTATTTTCCTGGGACTGCCAGGATAACTTCTGGCAATATTGACTTTCTGACAGCTAAAAATGAGGATATTACCTGTTCTGATAAATACTCAGTTCAGGGCACAGGTACATGTCTCCTCAGGGTCCAGGCCCTTTCCCCGTTACCAGACCTCCCTCTGCACCTGGGCACTCACTTTAAGGGGAAGGCTGCACTGCTTCCAGTCCTGTGAGGATTGCCAGCCCCCAGAAAGGAATTAAAGCCATCTGGTCTTCCAGAGATGAGGTGGTCTAAAGAAACCCTTATGGGGGAGGGGGACACAAACAGGAAAAAAACACTTGTTTGATGGGAGAGTTTTCTTTTTTTTTTTTTTTTCTCTGTATTTTCCAAGTTTGTTTTTCTTTAGTTCATTCCACTGGTCTCTCCATCTCTCTTTTGTGCGCACGTGCACGCACCCTCGCTCTCATTTTTTGGTTGTGTGTGTTTCAGTTTTTAAAAGAACTTTGGATTTGCCGTTGGTGGGCAGCGCCGGTCCCTGGAGGCTGGACCACCCCATGGCAGGGCTAGGACAAGGGGCAGGTCCACGGCTGCTGAGAGGATCTCTGTGTTTAAAGCCTTTGAGAATAAGTTACTGCAGTTCCCAGGGTGTGGGGTGGGGGTTGGCAGAGGGGTTCCTGTCGGCGGCTTCCCCTAGAGTCCAGGCCGCAGTAGACCCCATCAGGTGAGGAGAGGGTTTTGAGGGATGGGTTTGGGGAGAGTGAACTGGAAGCACTTCTCCCCCTGCCAACCTCCAGTTTGGTTTAGAGTTTTGTGGGCTCCCTGCCCATCCCAGGCTCCAACTTTGGGAGCCAATTGGGTTTTTGGAAAGAGTTTGAGAACAGTATGTCGCTCTAGACAAGGAGGGTAGGAAGAAGGGGGAGTGGCAGTTTATTTTCCATCCCCCTTCTTTGTCTTGGGTTTTCTTTTTCCTTCTTTCTTCTTCTTCGTCTTTTTTTTTTTTTTTTCCTTTTTTGGTGTTTTCTCTGTTAGTGGAATATTATGGGATAGTGTGTTTATAGAAGTGGGAGGGGGGCTGGGAATTCATTGGGGAAATGGAAGGTGGAACCAAGAGAAGGTTTATGTATGATACACAGACAGGTATGAATAATCAAGATGCCAAGGGGTATGTGTGTGTCTGTCTATGAAAACATATGGGCAAGGGCTACATCTGCCAGGAGCTGAGGAAGAGGATCAAAGTGTGTCTGTGGGTGAGGGAGGAGGCAGGACTCTGCTGGAGGTGGGGTGTGTGAAGCCCACTGAGGGTGGGAATTGAAAGATCCCCATGAGGTGGGCAGAGCCAAAGGTTGGGGTGAGGGATTTGAGTTCCCACCAAACACCCTTTGGGGTAGAAGAGGGAGACCTCTCCCCATCTTGGTTAATCTGTTTATAAAGCTAGAAGTGTAGAGGTAGTAGTAGTTTTTGGGTTGGAGTCCGTGTGAGGTAATCTTGCTTCCTCTTTGGCAAAAGCCACAGCAGCTGGAGCAGCAGTGGCGGTGTTGGTGACTGTGATGGGTGGGCCCCCCGGGGGTGGGGCCGCCTTGCGCCTGTGGGCCGAGGAGCGCAGGTGGGAGGCCAGGGCTTCACGCCCACTCAGCAGCACCTCACACGCCAGGCAATGGTAGGTGCAGATGGGCACTCGCAGTGGGGGGGGCATGGGACCCCCAGAACCCCGTCCAAAGAAGCAGAAGGATCTCTGGTGGGCAGTAGCTGGGGCCTCCCCTTCAAATGCCATCTTGCATTGGCGGCACAGGTAGCGATGAGTCACATCCACAGTGGAGATGCCAGTACTGCCTGTCAGCAGCTCATCAGCCTCCCCAGCTTCCCCCTCCCCAGGAGCAGGCAATTCAGGAGGCTTTGGAGGTGCTGTGGCTGTGGGCTCAGGGGGCTGGGGTGGTGGCTGGAGGAGGGCATTGGGGAGCAGCCCAATGAGGGTCTGAGGTATCACAGGGTTCATAGGAAATAGCCCCTTCTTCATGCCATAGAGCTGTTGAAAGTAGGCCCCCTGTAACTGGGGGCCAAAGACGGCTGGCGGTGATGTCCCTGCTGTGGGGGGTAATGGGAAGGGCAGGAATTGGCCCCCCAACAGGGCTGGGACAGTGGCCTTCAATGCTTTGAGGTTCTTGAGGGCATCAGTGGAGGGGTTGGTAGGGGCCACAACTGGCTTTCGCTCACCAGAGACCTTGTCCCCGGAGGGCTCGGTAAGTGGGCCCGGGACAGAGTCCGTGGTGCTTGCTGTTGAGGTGTCAGTTTGGTCGGGCACAGATCTCTGAGGTAAGGGGCGTCCGGGGCCAGCAGTCTGGACCACTGTGGTAGCAGGCAGGACTGAAGTGGCAAGGCCAAGGAGGCCTGAGGAGGCTGCAGGGCCTAGGAAGATGAAAAGAGGGATGAAGGGTTCATCACCTCTGCCCCCATTGACCTCTCTTCTCTCAACCATGTCCTTCTTTACTCACATTCCCACCACCCAGCTTCCCGCCCCCCTTCCCTCCTTTCTCCTAATAGCTGGAAGCAAAGGGGGACCATAGGGAAAGACTGGACCTGGGAAAAGTAAAAAAGGCAATGAAGTGCATGGCATTAAAGGGAGATGTTCTCAGAAGTCCAACTCCTCCCAGCCTTCCCACTCACCTGAGCTGAAAGGAGCTAAGCTGCTGAGTGGTGGCTGGGCCAGAGCTGGGCTGGACAAGAGCACTGGGGCCAGGCGAGGCAGGGCTGGGGCAGCTCCAATGGGCACTGAAGCAGGTGTGGTGACAGATGGGGCCTTGGGAGTTGGGGGGACCTCAGGTGCTGGGGCCAAGTCGTAGCACTTGCTTTCATTCTTCAGCTGGGCTCGGACTGCCTCTTTAAGTTTGGCCAGGTGCTGACGGGAAAAAAGATGGCCTCGGCAGGAAACATAGAAATCATACTTGACATCACAGTAAGGGCAGTCAGTGCGCTGGGCTGCCAAGGGGCCCTCGCTGTTGCCCCCACTACTTCCCACAACCACCCCCTGCAATTTGGCCTTCTTTTCCTTGGCTCGAGCATTCTGGAACCAGACCTGAATGACTCTCTTGGGCAGCCCAATCTCTTCCCCTAGCACCTCACACTCCTGCATGGTTGGGGTGCGGTAGGCTTCATAGCAAGCTTTCATGATCTTCAGCTGCAGGCTGCTCATCTGGGTCCTGTAGCGCCGCTGCCCCATTCCATCTGGAATCCCACTCCCACCTCCCAGCCCCCCACTGGTCCCTCCACTGGGGGACTCTGGTTCAGCTAGGCTGGAAGCAGATGAATCACTTAGGTCTCCTGCAGATGGACTGCAAGCCTCACTTTCTGGAGAAGCTTTAGATGGTTCCTCTGGTATCTCATCTTCACTTGGTGGAGCGGGTAGTGGGAGAGGTAACGGTGTTTCTGTTGATGTGATGGCCTCTTTCCCAGGTGGCAGGAAAGGCAGAGGTCCTGCAGTAGGGGTGACTGTAGGATAGGGAAAAGCAGGTGCTTCCCTCTTTGAGGCTTCTCTCCCAGTCCCATCATCCATCTTGCCCAATAGGAGGTTAAATTTGGGGAAAGGTGCAGGGGTGGGTGTGACAGTGGGTTTGGCTGCTGGACTAGGCACCCCTCCAGGAGTGCTTCGAAACTGGCCTTTCCTCTCCCGGGCCCTGGTATTCTGGAACCAGACCTGTACCACTCTCTTTTTGAGCCCCACCTCTTCAGAGATGCAGTCAAGCATCTTGCGTGTTGGATTGGAGTCCTGCATGTACCACCGATACAGGATCTCCAGCTGCTCAGGCAGGATGGTAGTACGCAGGCGCTTGTCCCTGGGGGGCTCACCCTCCCCTCCACCCCCTACTTCACTGCCTGTGGGGGATAAGCTGCCCTCTTCATGCTTCCGTTTGAGGGGTGGGCCTGGCACTGGTGGGGTCCCTGCCACCAGAGGGTTTCGCTCCCCAAACACTAGCAAGGGTAGATCTAAGAGCTGAGGGGGAGCACTGGGTTGCACAGATGGCAGGATATGTAGTCGGCGGTGACTTGTCAGGAGGTCCTGGCTGGGGAAAGTGATGCCACATTGGTCACAGCTGTGAGCTGGGGAAGGTGAGGGAGGATCTTTCCCTTCTGGCTCTTTGCCTCCTGGCTTTGTTGCCTCTGCCTGGCTCAGCTCCTCCATTTCTAGAGGTTCCGGTGATGGACCCACAGGCCCTGCTGGGGGCTCCAGACTCTGCTCCTCTTCTACTTCTTCTTCTTCTAACTCTTCCTCCTCTTCCCCTCTCTCTGCCTCTTCTTCCTCCTCTTCAGGGGTCTGGTCGTCATAGCATTTCTTGAGGTGCCGCACCAACTCAAAAACACAGGAAAAAGTGGTGTGGCAGCGCCTGCAGCCAGAAGCTCCCCCTGTGCCTCCTCCCGTGGGCACAGGCCCACCCTCGCAGGCATTTTTGCGTGCTTTTTGACGGGCATTCTGGAACCACACTACCACCACACGGCTAGCTAGACCCAAGAGACTTGCGAGCCGCTCCACCTCTCCGTCCTTGGGGTAGGCACTGGTCTCAAAGAAAGACTGCAGGGCCTGGGTCTGGAACTCTGTGAACTTGGTTCTGGAAAAGCGGCGGCCTGGAGGAACTAGGGGAGGAAGATTCCCTCTGGAGCTTTCTTCCTCCTCTAGGGGCCAGCGTCCTCCTGGCCGGCTTCGTTCTTCAGGAGCACGGGACCCTCCTGCTTCAGGCTCTGGGACCAGGAAAGGTGGGCCCAGCTGGGGAGCAGGTGGCTCTAGAGACCCATCAGGAGGCTTGGGAGGCTCCACAGGGGGTGGGTAAAGGCTATCATAGCTCTTTCGAAACTGAGCTGCATACCGGCTCAGAGCCTCAAAAGGCAGAAAGCGGCGATGGACATGCTCCTCGTGTGTCTTGAGGATGAGCATATTGGAGAAGAGCTTTCCACAAGCTCCACAGGCCAGCTTGTCTCCACC